AATCATCATCATCATCATGACCATGACCGCCGTAATCATCAACGAACAACATCATCATCATCATCAGCAGCAGCAGCAGCAGCAAGCATGATCAACAATCGTCTTCATCATCATCTCATCATCATCATCATCATCCAAATGATCAAGATCAGCAATCATTATCATCATCATCACCAACGACCCAATCGCTTAACGGAATCATCCATCAATCACTTCTAGGACCTCCCCCTCCTCCTCCTCCTCCTCCTCCTCCTCCTACTACTACTACTACTACTACTACTACTACTACTAGGACCTCCCCCTCCTCCTCCTCCTCCTCCTCCTCCTCCTCCTCCTCTCCCCCCTCCTCCTCCTCCTCCTACTACTACTACTAATACTACTACTATAACTATCGTCTGTGACTTCCTTGTCCTCCCCTCACCAGCATCACCAATATCACCACCATCACCACACCCATCAACAGAACAGCATCAATCGGTCGATCATCATCATCAACAGCGGCACCGATCATCATTTCCTCTGTTTCATCATCATGACGCGGTTTTCCCTTCCCACATCGTACGAGAACATACTGCTCTCATTTTTATAATCATCATGTGAGAAAAGAAGAAGAAGAAGAAGAAGAAGAAGAAGAAGAAGAAAATTAGTAAGAAGTCACCGTCCTGGGCATCAACGATCTCGTCCGTCGTTCTAATCTCCTCTGGTCATGAGGAATTGTCTCACAACATACTCGCACTAGGACATCCGTGGATGCTTTTGACCGCAATTACGGCCGGTCCTGGATGAATCTAACTGCAATTACGTCCAGAGAGCAGCCGAAAAAGATGGCCTGGACTCGTAGCATGAGTATTGTCCGCACTCTTTTCAACACATTTTTCACCAGAGAGACACCATTCCAACTTTGCCTGATCCGATCGACGGTCGGCACATTCCCATCTGAATGGCCTTCCTTTTTTTTTTTGTCTCACCCATCGATCATGCTACAACGCTGCGCGCCAAATGAGAAAAGGTGACCCTTTCTCCGCTGCGCGCCGCGACGCGCGCCCCATTTGCCCGTAAATGCAACTGCTTTACACGTGGCATCTCTTTTCTTTTCTTTTTACGCACGTGGCATCTTTACTTTTTTTTTTCTTTTCTTTTTTTTTTTTTTTTTTTTTTAATAAAACTACACTAATATATTACACCTGGCATCTTTATTCTCTTTACCTGTATCCCAGGTAATTCAGAATCATTATGAGAATAAACCACGTGGGACAATTCGAACTTGGGTCTGTATTTCAACAGTTCACGGGTGAACCACGTGGGACACTTTGCAACCGGTGCGACTTCCTCCCCCCTCCTCCCCCCCCTCCCCCCCGCCAAACCTAAGGCTCCTCATGTTCTTGCGCTCACATGCGGCTCGCTACCCTATTTGAACCTTACCTGCAAGCATCACAGGGGCGAGCAAACGACAGAAGACGTAGCAGCAGTAGGCTTCACATCCCACGTGGGAGACGCTCAGACCCGACATCCCACGTGGCAGACGCTCAGACCCGACATCCGACGTGGCAGACGCTTCAGACCCGCCCTCCCGCGTGGGAGATGATTCAAGCCTAACATCCCACGTGGCAGACAATTCAGACCGGACATCCCACGTGGCAGGCGGTTCAGGCCTGACATCCCACGTGGTAGATGGACATCCCACGTGGCAGACGCTTCAGGCCTGAGGCGTGATATCCCACGTGGCAGACGCCTCAGGCCTGGCATCCCATGTGGTAGACCTGCAAGACCGGACATCCCACGTGGCAGACGTTTCAGGCCTGATATCCCACGTGGCAGATGCTTCCAGCTTGACATTCCACGTGGCAGGAGCCTCAGAAGTAAGATCTCACGTGGCAGACGCTTCCAACCTGATATTGCACGGGAAGAAGAGGATGCGGCCCGCGGCAGACGCCGCACACGCGACATTCCACGAGGCAGACGCCTCAGAGGTGACATTCCACGTGGCAAATGCTGTGCGCATCGTAGCGCGGGAAGACGCAGCAGCAGCCTTGCACGTGCCGACGGCCACTAAGGAAGTCGCGACCGCGGCAGAAACACTGACGTGGCAGTCAGAGAAAGGACGTAAGACCCGACTACCGTCTTCACCCGAGTAGAACGCCCGGCCAGGTCGTTATCTGTATCTGTACCGAAAATTGCTCCAAAGACGGCTACAATGACTCGGCGTTCTATTCGGGTGAAGACGGTAGGAGCGCTGGATCGCGCCGTCCCAAAAAGTGCCCCACGTGGTTGCCGTTCACGTGGACATAATGCAAGTACCCCGAACACATGCACAGGGATAAAGCGCACGTACGTGCAGAAAATACCCACGTGGATAAAGCCACGCACACGCGTGGATGTCCCCTGCTGTTGCAGCTGGGAATTGTCCACGTGTTACGCGGATAGAACAACCGTCCACGTGGACACATAAAACAATCGTCCACGTGGACACTTCAACCACTCGTCCACGTGGACGGATAAAAGAACTCTCCACGTCACCGGGTAAAGGATTCGTGCACGTGGACGGATACTACAAGTCGTCCACGTGGACGATCCACGTGGACGGACAAACAAATCCTCCACGTCCACCGGGGATCGAAGACGATCAGTCGGATACCGTCCCCCAAGTCTCAACCATAAACGATGCTGACTAGGGACCGGCGGATGTCTATGGATGACTCTTCTGCCCGCACCTTGTGAGGAATCAAGGTTCACGGGTTCCGATGGGAGTATGGTCGCAAATTTGTGGGAAGGGCACCACCAGGCACCAGCAGGCGTAGTAGAGCTTGCAAGCTTAATTTGACTCAACACGGAGAAACTCACCAGGTCCAGACATGGCAAGGATTGACATGGAGTCGTCCACGTGGACGGATAAAGGAATCGTCCAAGGGGATGGATAAAGGAATCGACCACGTGGATGGATAACGGATAAAGGAAAAGTCCACGTGGGCTTCGGAAAAAGGCCCATGACTTTCTCCGAGTGCGGACACGTGGATAACCCCCTACGTGTTGCAGCTGGTAAGTAGAGCACCCGATTAAGAATAGTAAGATGTTGCTGCTGTCTTCCGAACGTATCTGACCTGAATAGCGGTCTGAATACGGATGAAACAAAGTAGTGATCGCGCGGCCAAAACACAGGCGCACGGTAGTTAATGAGAGGGAGGAAGGGCAATGGTGAAAGCAAGCTTGTACGGGAAAGGGCCCTCAAACTTCTTGTACGTCTGATGGGGGGGCGGGGGGGAGCGATTGGGAGAAAGCCGAAATTGGAGAAAGCTAGAATTTAAAATTAAAAAAAAAAAAAAAAGCAGGGACAATGATACCAGCGGGTCAAGCTCAGTTGGTAAACCCATGAACTGTTGAAATACAGACTCACGTTCGAATCCTGATGGAACCAGATGAACGAAATTCCCGAATTGCATACGGCCGGTCAGTTTCACGATGATATCTCCAGGCCGCCGCTTTCTAAGAAAAAAAGAGGAAAACAAAGGCAATGAAGACGGCCGTGGTGATGGCCCACTGATGAAGACGATGCCGATCTTCATCAACTAATGTAGAAGATATATATATATAAATGTAGAAGATATATATATATACATATATATATATATCGTATATATTGTACGATGATTCATGAGGACGAGACGAGACAACGACGATGTTGTGGAAGACCTTGGCCGTTTGACACCTGTTTAAGGGAATTCAGATAATAATGTTGGTAGCTATGGTCGACAAGGTCACTTTCTCTCTCTCTCTCTCTCTCTCTCTCTCGCGCGCGCGCGCGCCGTTTATTCCTTCCCCTTCAAATGCACCGTTCAGAGAGAAATGGTGGCCGCGACAGTGTCTTACAGGACGATCGGCAATTCTATTGCGCGTCTGTCGTGCGCGTGCGCGGGTGGCTGTGTTTGTGTGTTTTAGTGTGTGTGTTTGTGTTGTGTGTTCGTGTGGTGTGTTTGTGTGGTGTGTTTGTGTGGTGTGTTTGTGTTTTTGAATGTTGGCATGTCTGTGTATGTTTGTGTGTGTGTGTGTGTTCGTGTGTTATGTGTGTGTGTGTGTGTAAGTGTATGGGTTGCGACGTGTGTGAATGTGTGCGTATGTGTGCGAATGTGTGCGTATGAGCGTGCGTACGAGTGCGCGTATGAGCGTGCGTATGGGTGTGGGTATGTGTGAATGCAGTGATGTTCTTTCAACACAACTTCACAAGACAACCGTTCAACTGCCACACACAACCATCATCATCATCATCATCATCATCGTCATCATCAGGGGGGTTTCCATGATGCCATCGAATATTATGGTATCTTCCGACACACCATCTCGCCCGAACTCAGCGATACCCTCCAGAGCACTGGTCCGGCGTCAGCATGTGTGAGTGGGTGCATACGGGTGTTCGTGGGAGCGTGTACATCTCTTCTGTCCGCACCTTATACACGTAGTCATGTGCATTTGTATGTGTGTGTGTGTGTGTGTGTTTTTGTGTATGCGCCCAATTCTCTCTCTCTCTCTCTCTCTCTCTCTCTCTCTCTCTCTCTCTCTCTCTCTCTCTCTGTGCACACGCACATACACAGACTCTTGCTTCTTTCGAAGAGATGTGTATAGCGAACATGACAAAACACACACGCACACACACACACACACACACACACACACACACTGACAAAACAAACACACACACACAGACAACACACACACACACACACACACACACACACACATGGACGCACGCATATACCCAGAGTAGCTTCCGAACCACCACCAGGCTTGGCCGCCGGCTCATCCCTGTGCTACTGCGGACACGTGGCTCGGCCGTAACCAGAGTCACCCATCACGTCCATAACACCGACATACACCCAGTGCTTCACCCCAAGCACCACGCATCATTACCCTGATAAAACCACCCGGCGTATGGACCTGCTTACGATTATGATACAACTCGTACAGCAACAACACGTCGTCACCTACACCACACCACACCCCCTACCTACCGGTTGTTGAGATAATTTGTAGCCGACTCGCAACTACATCCGCCGCCAGTCTGTCCACACGTGCAATGAATACCCTCTGATAATCGGTGGCTAAAGGAGTACGCTCTTCCAAAACCACAATAACCACAACTCGTACCCCCAAGGTATCCCCCAAGGTAGTTAGCGATCAACCTTTCTTTCCTCGGGCACAGTACACCAGGAATCGGGGCCTCGCCACACCACTCCCAAAACATGAAAAATGGAGGATGCATCTTCCTCAAAACATAGAAAGATACGCTCGCCGTAGGTTTTGTCCTTCTCACATTTCCGGGAGTGGTGCAGATGCCGTGTGTCCCCTCTCGAGATTGCAGTCCGGGCCGAAGATCCCCTCCTGCACCTTCGCCTGTCCCACCCCTACCGAATATCGGACCTACCGCTACCGCAAGTGGCCCACTACCGTACCGGTCGTGAATGCCATTATGCCACCACACATTCAAAGTAGCGGTGCCAGTGCCCGTCTTACCACAGGGGTCCTGTCAATGAATTCCTTGCTTCGGCCAGTCCTGGCCTACCCCTCTGTCTGAGCGGGCATTGATCGTCCATCATCCTCACCCCCTTCGAGGCGAGGGCCCTACGGCTACCAAGTGGCTCACTACCGTGCTGGTCGTGAATCCCACCACATTTTGCAGCCAGGATGGCTGCGTCTAAATGCTGGTTGTCTTTTGTCGTTTTGCGGAGCGGGCTTTTCCGGGATCCGGAAATGTGATGCGGTACAGCGGGCAGGAAACGGGGTGTGTTTTGGGGTTGGGAAAGAGTGAGGTCAGCGTCGGGAGTAAGACCGGTAGGGGGGAGCGGTCCTTGTACAGCTTGGAGCGCGGGTGACTGGCGGTCGGGTGTTGAGGTCGTTGTTCGGTATCGCTGGATGGGGACCACTGTTTTGTTCTTTCGTGGTTTTGGGGGTGCTTGTTGGGGTTGGGGTATATGGGTGGTGGGTGGGCGCAAATTTGGGGGCGGGTCGGTCTTCGTGCAGGGTACTCTTTTTTTTTTTTTTTTTTTTTTTTTTTTACAACCAACTCCTCTCAAATTGGCACAAACTGGGAACCGAGCCCAGCGTCCCATAACGAGTACGTTCAGAAAACTCATCAGAAAATTTCATGAAAATTAGACAAGGAACTGCTAGAAAAAATCCAGTTAGCCTAAGGATGAAATTTTGAAAATTGAGATACCGGTGCCATTACCCGGCTTTTTTTTTTTTTTTGTGGAAAGCTTGCAAAATTTCATTTCAAAAAATACATCATGAGACGAGGCCGGGGACCTCACAATTCAACCCGGAGTTATCCTGGCAGCCTCAGCCAGTTTCGCTTTCGAGCCAAGCTCGTTGGACAACCCCCTACTCACAAAGAAAAGAAAACAGTCCCCGACTACTGGACAAAACTGATCCAGTGTCCCTTCATCAAAATTACTGCTTTCCAAACTAACTTGAAGCTCATAAAAAATTGCAACGCACTTCAATTCTGAAGGTAGTATCCTATTGCTGGAAACCGGGTCCAGCGTCCCATCCTATCCCCTCACTCAAGTGAGAGGCCTTTAAACAATATGGATCTACAGGTACTCCTTCCATGTAGTCCTTACTGATCCGGGCGAACTGGAGCACTCAAGGCGGCTTCAACCATCCGGCAATTACCAAATTACCGTCTCGTGAGACTGTAGCCATCAGGTCCTCTCTTGCCCATGTTTTCAGGAACCAAGGTTTTCCTTTGCCCAGACGGCCTGAACTTATTCTCCAATCAGCCTTGATCATCAGCCTGATGTTTCTTCGTACCACATGTCTTTGCTGCATAGCTGTAAGACGTTCCCCCTTAAAGACCAGACTGTTTCTTGAGTTCCAAATCTCTTGCATCAGAACTCCTTTACAGACTAAGGCCACGTAGCCCCAACCCTCCGAGAGATTAAACCTTGCAGAGGGGAGGATTCCAAATAGTATCCAATTCTCAGTCCATTCAAAGGCATTATTGGTCAGGTCATTCCACAGATTGATCCACCACTGCCAACTTTCGTCTGCTAAAGGGCACTGTACCCAGAGATGGGAGTTGGACTCCCAATTCCAGTTACAACGGGTACAGGTGGTAGCAATGTTCATTCCCCTAGTTGCCAACCATTGAGCCGTCGGAATCACTTGCAGCGTCTGTTGCCACAGCAGGCTCGCCGACTTTTGTGAAGGGATCTTCTGCAGAGCCCGTCATTGCAGGCGCCAATCAGGCTGGTTTATTTCTGTGCCTTTCAATCTTGTGAAACGGGAGGAGGCCAAACTAGTTGGAGTACACCTGGCCTGAGAACAGATCACCGTCGCCCCAGTCTTAGCTTTATAAAAAATGAGGGGAGTCTGGGTGCGGGCCTCTGAGCCCAGTAAACTATGTTGCCAACCCCATAGCGCTGGTTCCACTTTGAACTGGCTAGCTTCACCCAGCAAAACAAACTGTTTATTACTCTGAAGTACTATGACTTCAGACAAGCCCTCTGTACTCTCTATTATCCTTTCCTGTTGCCGGGCCATTGGACCCTTCCGTTCACTCCTAATCCCCAGAGTCCATTCTTGCACCTTAATCCCTGAGGACAAATCCGGACCCAGTACTTCCCACACACAATACTGATCATCCTTGGAGAGAAACCAGGCCCCCACCCCTCCTTCTGTCGTCTTCTTCAACGTGTTCGTCCAGTGAGGGGGCATGGCTCCTAATAGCATATTCAAGTTAATCGAGATATTCCTCGACCGGGGGAGCATGGACCGAAATTCCTCCACGGACTTCCACCGGTCCTCTTCTTCATTCCACAGATGTTTAACTTGTAGGATTCCCTTTTCCATCCATGCCCGTCCAAACTGACCCCTACCAGTACCTGCACTGAAGGTGCTCCCTCTAAGAGGGCCAATCAACTTATTATCAAAGAGCAGTTGATTCGCAATTTCTGTTCGCGAAGCAGGGATGTGCAGCAGCTCTGGGTGTAGTTTATGCCAGGCATATAGGATGTCATGCCAGATTCTCGATTTAATCCTCCTGTTGCAAAAGGAGGGTACCAAACAGCATAGCCAAGCCTCACCCTGATTGGCTAAGGACCACTCCCTACCCAAGATATACTCAGCAAGCTGTATCCAGAGCTTAGAGCGGTCTTAAAAAAAAAGCTTTAATTAACCATTTAGCCAGAAGAGCCAAATTTTGTGCCCTGGGATCCAGGATACCCAACCCCCCTTCTGATCGAGGTTGGGTTACTGCTTCCCAGGCCACTTTCGATATAAAACCCTGTTCTTCCGCAGCCGCAGGTTTCCATAAATACCGAGCTGCCACTCGTTTAATATCCGCATATGCTTCACTACCCAGTAAACAGACTGACAGCGGAAACCAGAGAATCGAGAAGGCTGCCGCCGAAATCACTAAGGCTCTTCCATACAAGGAGAGTTTGTAATTCCTAACCCATGAGAGAATTCTTGCCGTTACCCTGCCGGACAATATCTGATCTTGTACACTCAAGCAATTGGAAAGGGCCACCTGTATCCCCAAGAATCTTTCAGAGTTACCGGTGGGAACGACTCTGAGGCCCCAGTCTACTTTTAGTGAGTACATCGGATGAAGAAAATAAACCGATTTCGACCAATTTATAGAAGCTTCAGACAACAAACAATAGTCATCTAAGACAACTCTTAACTCTGTCAGGGAAGATGTAGTATTCCCACAGGCAACCGTCAGATCGTCAGCCAATGCGCCCTCCTTCCACTGTAACGAGGTGGAAAGTTGAAGGCCCTTAATGGCCTCATTATGACTAATGTTGTAAAGTAAAACCTCTAACTGCAGAACAAACAGGAGCGGCGCTAACGGACAACCTTGTCGCAGGGATCGAGTAAGCTGAAACTCCTCAGAAAGGACCCCATTGACCATTACTACTGAAGTTGCATGTGCATACATGGCCCTTATCCAATTGGAGAAACCCTGACCAAAACCCATTTTGGAAAAGGTGGTAGAAACAAAGGCCCACCCCACCTTATCATAGGCCTTCTCCATGTCCAACAAGAGAATGGCCACTTCTCTTTTCTCTGAGCTAATGATCTCCAAGGCTTGTACAGTTGTCAGGATATTCTCAAAGATGGAACGACCCTTTACGAAGGCCCCTTGCTCCCAACCAACCAACTGTGGGAGTTCTGCAGCGAGCCTTAACGCTAGAGCCTTAGCCAATATTTTATACGCAACATTCAAAACCGATATGGGTCTATAATTTCGGACCTCTCCCTTATCCCCCTTCTTATAAAGAAGGGAGATGACTCCTTTCACCCAGTCCTGAGGAAGGGAGCCCACTGCAAGTGTTGTGTTATAGACTTGGCATAGAAAGGGGGCGAAAGCTTCCCACGTACACAAGAATAACTCCACAGGAAGATCATCCAACCCCGGGCCATTTGCTTTATTGTTGTATGTAGTTCACCTTGTGTTAGTGGGGAGTCCAGGCGTGCTCTCGTTTCAGCATTAATACAAGACTTCGTTCTGTCCCAAAAACGGGAGCTCACCGAGAGATCTGAGTCAAACTGGTCAAAAGGGCGGCGGGTAGTAACGATATCCCGAAAATACTCCAGCGCAAAAGAATACATTGTTTGGATGTCCGTGGCTACCGCTGCCTTTATATCAAAAGGATGGACTAATTCTCTAACTAATGGTTTAGCCTGTTTTATGATAAGTGATCTAAACGTTAACTTTGTCATTCGATCGTACCCTATTATCCCACGAATTTTGAGCCACTCGAGCCACTCAGCCTGTCTCTGCACCTCCAGGGACTCCAACAGACACAAGGTTTTTTTCCTCCGCTCACCCCAATAATATTCTGTAAAGGGATCTGTGTCTATCAGGGCTTCGGCCTGTTCAATATCACGAGTGACCTTCAATTTTGTCCACCGCCTATTGGCGGCCTTCATCCTGGAGAAAACCATCAGGGCTTCTCTGACAATCCCAACGCCCGTTGCGGCCCACTGATCCTCAGATTCAAATAATTCCTTAGCGTTCATCCAGGCAGCCATCTGATTTCTTACCCAATCCGGAATGCCCTTGTCATTGAGGATGTTCGTGTTCAACCTAAACGGTGGGCGAACCCTCTGCAGTCTATCTCTAGCCAATATGTCAACAATCACTGGGTAGTGATCGGACAAATAAGAAATTTTATAATCAGTTAGAATGCATCTATCCCAAAGGACACCCCTTGCTACAATAAAATCCAACCTGCAACAGGGCTGAGGGAAAGGGTCCGCTGGGCGAGACCCATACCATGTGAACCCATGTTCCTCTGGGTTCATTACTCTATATGTATCAATCAGACTCTGTGAGTCAAAGAAGGCTGACATCATAATGCTATCCGGTCTTAGGGGTTTCGCCACTGGTGAGTCCAAGCCCGGGTTCATTGTCGTGTTCCAATCCCCACAGATCACCAAGTTCTCTGTGTCGGGGATAAAGGCCGTAAGATTTGAAAAGAAAGTCACTCATTCCCCTAGAGCGTTAGGAGCATATACACACATAATGACCCACTCTTCCATATCTAACTCTAATTTTAACCAGGCTCACCGACCACCTGGATCCACATAGTAATCCAAAATATCGCATTCTAAGTCCTTATGTACTAGGATCGCAACTCCACCTTTGGTCCCCTCAGCAGGGGACCAAAATTGAGGTCCATGCCACCAGCCGGCGACTTCTTGAATTTTTACTCGGTTCAATTTTGTTTCCTGCAGGCAAAGAATCTGTACATTCTCTGAGAAAACCCAGGAAGACAGCCTTGACCTTTTCTGTCTGTCGGAGGTATCGCCCAGTCCCTTAACATTCCAGCTAGCCAGGCGCACTCTAGATGGTAGAACCATCAGAGTAGTCAGCGCCGCCGGGAGTTTGGATGCGGGCAGGAAGCTGTGGAGCCGTGGACACTCCTGAGGGAGATACAATTTCTAATGGAATTATCCACTGACCACTATGTTTCAAAACTCTAGCTCTGTATTGGTTTGTGGATAAACTGGTAGCGGCACCAATATGTCAGAGCCAATCCGCAACTTCCTTAGCAGTAAGTCCGGGGGTAAGACGAATCGATGTCATCAAATCCAGTTTATTTGCAAAAAAATATTGCAGGGGTAGCCACAGGGCCCCTAAAGTACTCCATTCAACAAGAGAGTCAGAGATTGTGTTCAGGGCCAAAAAGGCTATATGAAAAATAACCTTTTTGCCATCTGGGAGGGAAGCCACATGACGGCCTCTCCTTGGGACTGTCAAAATCACGCACGACCTGAGGTTTTTAAGTATCTGGTCATTGGCCAGGTCAACCATTTCCTCGTCTGATGGGCCTGTCTGCACAGGGATTGTTGAGACACGCAAGGCTTCATCTGCATCCTTCAATGTCATTACCAAGACATTCAGAGAAGAGACTGTGCAGATAAGTGGGACCAAAAATTCCTGAATCGGACCGTTGTCCTTATCCGCTTTGGTCAACGTTACCATTGGTTCGGAGGCCACTAAGGATTTATTGGCTGACCACGAAACTTGTCTCTTTTTCTTCGGGGGGGACAACTGCCTGTGTTCTACTGATTTGTGTTCTAGCTCCCCTTCCGTCAGCCTCTCCTCTGTAGGGATCGCCCGATTGTCATTTGTCCTAATCCTCTTATTGGGACCTTGTATTATCAGTTCAGGATTGAATAACAGTTGACCCTCCTGGAATAGGCTGGGAATCGCAAAATCCATGTGGTCTAGGGCGGGATTATCCCCCCCCGCCGCCTGATGCTGTTCCGATCCAGCCTCTGAGCCCGGGGGCTTGAAAACCTGCTCAGTCTCTTCCTCAAGCATCTCCAAGTCTGAGTCAGAGTCCGCATGAGAAGGTGGTTGTTCCACCCGTTCTTGAGCATCTGGGGAGGGGCCTTCTGCTGGGGTATCAATTTTTTCGCTTGGTTCCCCATCCTTTATCGCCTCTCCTCCCTTAGTGTGCTTCTTCCCCTTCTTCTTTTTTGGTTTTCCACTGCCAAAAACGAATGGGGACGACTGATCTATGTCCTTGCAGAGTAGGGCAGCCTGGCCCACAAGTTTCCCTTTTTCCGTAAAGACAATTTTCTGCCTCTCTGTGTTCTCCACTTGGTTCCCTCCTTTTGTTGCATCCTTACCGCTGTCCTTCAACTTCTCTTTGACCTCCCCTTTCTTAGCCATCACCCTTTTCATACCCTTATCCTTCTCTGTCCTCTGCTCCCTCTCCTTCCCTGCCCCCTCCTCCTCTACCCCCTCCTTTCTTCCTTCTTTCCCCTTCCCCTTTTCCAGCTGTCCTTTCTCCTTATCTTTCTCTACCTGGGTGGGCTTGTCCTTTTGTTTAAGGACAGTAGGAGCCTTTCTCGCGACCGTTACCCTGTTTTCTCTGATAAACTGGGCAACACTCATCAATTGCCTTGTGAAAGTGACGACGACAAGCTGAACACCAGGGTGTGGAGGCACAGACCACGGAAACTTCTACTTCACCATATTCCCCCAGGTCAAAGATCAACTTCTTCTTGTATTTCAGTTTCGCAGAGTAATCAAGGTCAAAACGGACGTCACGCAAATCCGGGATTAGCGGATCTTTGTATGGAATGGATGCCCTAAGTATTGGACCAAAAGCATCTTCCACAACACTTTTTAACAGCCCTAGCACAGTGACTGGTACATCTATGTAGTGAATCCAGAAAAAGTTTTGTGCCATCAGATCCCTCCATATGGACAAATCTTTTGCTGTCATCCAAGGACGGAAAGAGACCGAGTACACAATATTGTCTTCTAATTGAATTCGGTCCTCTTTCTTCTTCAACATCCAAGTCGCAATCTCTTTGGCAGAAGCTACGTACGTTATCAAATTTCGTCCTTCGTTTCTAAGTAGACCTCGCTTGGGGGGGGCGCCCGTTTCACCGGAGCGTCCCAACCCGTTTTCGTAAATTCTAATTAGCCGGCTTTTGACTTCCGGTGACAACGAAGACGATTCCTCACCAAAGAAGACGGAGACTGCATGCTCCTGCATCCAGCCTGCCTGGATCTTGGACAACTCAAGGTCCACCACCACCCTCATAAAATCCTCCCCGGATGTGACTGTACTAGGGGCGAGTTTATGCGGCAGAATGCCTTCATTAAAGCACGCCTTCAAGACCTCATGGATCCGTACAATGTCAGCCTCCGAGGGTGGGGAGAACAACGCAGGGGGGGGGGGCGGATGCCATCGCAACAGAACAAAGTGAAAACCACAAAACCCAAAAGTAAATCACGAAGCTCTGTAATCCTTCCCCAGATTTTATAAATAGGAGCTAACACTGGAAAACGAAATTTGAAAGGCAAAGGAGTATCAATTAATACCTCCCCCAAAAAGGGGGTTGGTCGTTGACCTTCGCTTACAGTTCTTCAGATATTTCATCTTGATTCATCCCTCCTCATTGCTATATGCCTTTCACCTTTAAACGTCTCCGTGTGTCCACGCTTCCTTGCTGTCGGGGCGTACACCAAGGCCTTCGAGCCTACGCTGAAGCAGCGTCCGTAGTATATACCGTTTCCCTCCAAGTTTCAAGGCGTTGCCGCCCGACCACTCTAATCCGAGCTTCGGGTGACAAGCTCTCACAAACCTACATACCTGACAAGCTGCATATGCACCCCTTGACCCCAGCCTCCTCCCCTGACCGGCTCAAGGTGCCCACTACTTTCAGACTATGCCTTGATAACAACATGTCGCCACGACTCCTCATCTTCCATCGCCAGCAGCTAAGCAGACGTGCTACTTGTCGGACAGCTCTCTAACCCAAACCCTAATCCTCCTTAGTTCGGCAGCGCCTGGCCCTGGCAGGATTAGCGCACGAATTAGCGCATCCGGTAGCGCTGCGCTCCAGCAGCATCTGAACTGCTTTTCCCATTACCCGGCTTTGGCTCGGAGGAATTGGAGCTACTTCAGACACATCCACGACAACTTCATGATTAAGCAAAACTCGAAAACGACTCAGAAAGCCCCTATCAATCCACTTTACCTCACTCCGGCAAGACTGACTGCAGCAGAGCCACCATCTCTGCTGCAGCTATGCCATACTCCCATCCTACCAGCTAGCCCCCTCACTGGTAGGACGTGTGATAACCCACCATCTTCTCCCACCTTTCCTTCGTTCAAGAGAAGTGAGAATAGGAGGCCACAGAGGTATTACGATTGTTCCAAAAACCTCAACATCCTACACAAACCCTTCCAACGTTCTCTGTCCTACTCCCTGCCGATCTCTTCTAGGTCTCACACCCCCACTTTCTGCTGGGTCACAGGGCAACGCAACTCACCCCAGCTCCGACCGGCGTCGTCCCGGCAGAAACCCTTGGTTGTCCCGTGGAAGGCCCACCCCAAAACCTCCCCAGATCTCTCTACCAGACCTCACGCTCTTGCATCGCAGGTTACAGGGCAACACCCCAGCACCGGTCAGCGTTGTTCTCACATCGAACAACCACAAATCACTGAGTATAACAGCATTGAAGTCACCTAAGATGAGTTAGTAGGGATCCCAATGTCCTAAAAAACAGTCCTAGGACCACTAAGCACCTAACTCTTTTAGGAACATTCAAAAAACTTTTAGAAAAATAAACGAACCGGGGGGCGAGACTAAAACTACCTACAATCCTAGATTCCCCCTTCCAATAGATGGGACGTCGTTCCGGGCTTTCAGTCCTCGTACCAGAACTCACTTGATCTCATACCCCCTTTTGCTAGGATAGCAGGGCACCACAACCCTCCCCAATACCGATCAACCTAGCTCTGACGGACGGGAAGTGCCTTCCTTCCTCGACAATTCCCTTAGCGGCAAACCCTAAGCAGGTTACAAGGTCAATACCCCGGCGCCAACTACGTCGGACGATCAGGTTATGCCTCCCTCGACATAACTTCACCAGCCTCAAGCTCCCCCTAGGTTACAGAGCAGATGCTCCAGCACCGGCCTGTGTCGTCCCAACCTCGTCTTTCTAACCTACCTACCCTAACAATAAACCTTTTTCTGTTGAAAATCCCTTTATTGCCTTCCTTCCATCTATTCTAGCTTCCCCCCCTTTCGGCTCACTGTGTAGCCATCGAAGTTACTCCTTCCCTAAAAAAACAAAACCCTAACACTCTGCCATAAGCAGCCACCCCCTTGCCTTTTCTCCTCACCCGCCAGTACTGATCCGTCCCTAAATCAGTCTGGCTAAGAGACGACAATCCCCCAATACCGCCTCCCCCCTTCAATAATAACACCTCCCACCTTGTGAAACCCTTACGGGGGGAGGCTCCAACCCTCAAGGAAGACCCCACAGATACGCACAGCAAGCCTCAAATTATACCACTCAGGACCAGGAGGTTGAGATTAGCAAACAGATAAAGGCCATCCAAATCAAATTTTACCACACGGTATTGAGGTTAACAAACATAGGTTTTTTGAAATACTTTGAGAAGCCTACTTTAGGCATCGGAGATCAGAAACGAAATTGCAAAATCATCTAAAGTTTTAAGACTAACGAATATCAGAATTCCAATCCAGACCAAAAATAAGATCAATGATTACAAAAAGTTACTCAATGGCCAAATTCACGAGAATTATATGAAATTCAGGTTTAGATATTCATAACGGATTTTCGAATCAGATTCCCAAACCACGGTTTGAGAATCGTTTAACAAAAATGTATGGCATGTATTGGTTTAAGAAGTTGTTTTCATCTGATGGAAACACCAAATAGAAAACACTGAATCGGATCGTCATTATTGAATGTATCAAGAATTACAACATAGAACAAACACACGAGTAATACACCCAATCAGAAACACCAATTTAGATCGTCATCATCAAGGATTACGATATAGAAGAGACAAACAAGTAGTGCAAAGTCAAGCCGACTTATCATGAAAGAACCAAAACAAGAAATACTATCAGACGCTATTGAAACACAAAACTTTGAAAAACTATGGGAGTTTGAACATTTTTCTATCAAAGGAAAGTAAGAAACGTATCATAGAGGGATTCTAACTCTTTATGAAAGTACAGTTCAGGAAAGGTGGCCAAACGACATACACAAACGCAAAAGGAGATCAAGCCCATCCTCCTGCCCTACTTCCTCAATCCACCCACTTACCTTATCCTCCTCAAACCCTACCCCTCTATCTTCGGGGGAGAAGTAACACCCCTCCTCCCACTGCTAGCCTCTAAGGCTGGGAGCAACACTAGCACCGAAGACATAACGACCATTGTCAAAGTCCAACGATAGTGCGGCGTCTCCTCACCAAACCTGTTGGTGAGTCGCTACAGGGGGTTCGAGCATCCATACCATTACTACCCTACTAAGGAAGGGGGGAGACTTGACGTGACTGCAACGCCCATATAATCTTATCGTCTTATTGCATATTATAACGCTCATCTATACCAGGAAGCTCCAATTTACCTCGCCCTCTCACAAGCTCCACGTCCAGAACAGCACAGAGAGCGAAACCGAGAGAAACCGTCACCCTTCATCTCATGTCATCATCAATCCAAAAATCGCCATAGCCGCAATCACCGTAGACCGATGTAGGTCGCTGCCCTGATCTCACCATCATCCCGCCATGCCTACGTCCATCATCGCGCATTTCAGTTCCCATCACCAGTCGCGACTTACAGCACCATCATACCTCTCTCACCGCCACTACCCGCCACTCACATCTCAGCGCACCGTACCAAAAGAACGTGCCCAGAGCAAGGACGAGAGAAACCCGTCACCGTTCATCTCATGCCAGCGTCAATCCGAAAATCGTCATATCCACCATCACCATAGACCGTTGTCGGTGCGAAGACCCTTACAAGGGTATCCGCCCTGGTTTTGCAAGTGGCAGAAAATAACTTTGGTTTAAAAATTAAATATACCGCGCGAGTCGCGACAGGGTTCGTTGTCTATGCGGCTGATGGTTGACTAGGATAAAGAGTGGGTGGGCGCGCAGACTTGAGGCGTGCGTGATCTTTTTAATTGTTGATTATCGAGGAGCCGGCGTGATCGCCGGCCGGAGTTTTTGTTTCTGATTAAACAGGGGTTAAAGAGATTATGTCTCGCTGATTAATGTGCTTGCTTGTGGCCTATGTGTACGTACGGGAGAACGACATCGACAACAGGGAGGTTTTGATGCGTCTTCGGTAGGCCCGCGTGTCGCGCAATGTCCGTTTATTTAGGCGTTTGTCAGAGCCAAAACCCAAACTTGGGCCTAGCGCTAGCGGTTACGACGTCGGACTTTCGGCGAGGAGATTCGAGGAACGAGGTTGAGCGGCGACGACGCGAGGATCAGAGTGGCGCGGACGGAGCGAGGGGTTAAGGGTCTGGCAGGGATATCCCCCTCGGTCTTGTCGTCCGCGGCGTCCGATTGGTGGTGACACTTTCTAAGTATTTCTTTTTACGCCGTATTTTTGTTTATCCATTTAGTTATTTATTTATCTTATTTTACAACAGAAAAATTCCCACGAGAAATGAAAGTTGAAAAAACATTCAATTCAAAAAAAGAATTTCATATTTATAAATTATCATTCCAATGTTGTTCATTTCTAAAATTTCCAGTTTTATTTGATGAGTTCAAGTCTAAATATGAGTTTTCCSTTCCAACTACATCTATTTGATCAAAGATGGAATGAAAGTCTGAATGAGTTTATGAAATGTCTTAATTAAACTTTCATTATACTATAACAAATACCTACTAATTTANGAAATGTCTTAATTAAACTTTCATTATACTATAACAAATACCTACTAATTTAAATTGGATTAACTCATTTATGACTAAAAATCCTTACATAGAATGACAGTCCAATTAAAATATTTCATGAACTCATCMAGACTTTCATTCCATCTCCATCATGCAATTCAAATAAGAAGAGATACCCGATACTTGGAATGAAAATTTTCAAGTAAGACAGACAATTTTAAAATTGTAATGACATTTTTCAAGATGGAATAAAAATTTAGAATTTAGAATGTAATTGTACTATAAAATGATTATTTAATTTTGAAATTTTTTTCTGTTGTAGATTTTTTTGCTCCAGCGTGCTGTTGACCCGGACCATCGCCGGGTTTAATGGCCACCACGACACGGTCATGTATATGACCCACGTTTCGGGTCCGATGAGGTCGCGCGGCGGTGTGGTGTATTCGCAGGGTGGCATGGAGCGCAGCCACAAACAATTTTCGGGATTGCGCCGAAGTACCCCGTTATAGTGTTTCAAGGATCTCCGTAGCAGCCGCATCCGTGTTCAAGCCCCCAACGTGGGAACGTGCGGGAGCGGTACCTGCCAGCAGGGGGAGCCGATATCTGCTGTAGTGGGCAAGGTGGCCCCTGCTGGTAGCTGGTATCCTCAGGACCAACGTGTTATTTCTAGGAGGCGGATAGCGGGCCTGGCCAGACCGTACGGAGTAGCAGCAGGCGGACCGCTGTGTCGGGGCGCTAACGGGTGGTGAACACTGGTGAGGGGTACGATTATGCCCTATGTGGACCTGTTGTAGTTTAAAGACTTTAGCCAGGAAGAGAGAGCATTCCTTTGTGTGATATTGGTGTCGATTTGAGTTGAGAGTTTTCGACTTTAAGTGTATACAAGTAGTTCGAGACTATATTTGTTCGCTTGAGTTGGGATGTTATACCCTTGAGGGTGTCTGAGTTGGAGTGTTGTCTGAGACTATTTCTTTGTATATGACGATCACAATCACTCTCACATGTGTGGGTTTTATCCTGATGAATGGTGATTTTGTGTGGATTTTGTGAGACTAAATGAATGTTAATTGTCTACTCTCCGGTATACTCGTGCGATCTGCTCACAGGCATGAGAGGGCC